TGGGGTGGCCAAGTGGGGGCTTTTCTTTCAATCCCTTTGTGCTTGATTGCCCAACCCTCAAAAATAGCCTCTTATTGAACACGTCAAGTCATCGCCACCAAATAATGAAAACAAATTAATTAAAGAATGGTTATTGGCCACTTTTCTTGTATGAAAAATATTTAATTTTTTTAGCTTTGCCTGTGCATGTAATGAAAATAAAAGACAGAAATATATAAATTGCTTAACAATTCTTCTAGCTAAATTAGTTTAGTGTAACAAAGCAATATTTGATACTTGATCTTATTTGAATTCTATATTGGTGCATTGACCTTGTATGGTGAGTTGCTTGAAGGTTAACAAGCTCTCCGTGTTAAAGGCTCTTTTCATTTAACGATAAAAATAAATGTTGGGTGTTCATATATTGAATATCCTCGTGTTTTCATTACGTGTGCATGAAAGGTCATGTTGTCGTTAAGATTTTACAATGTGATTTTTGATAGAAAGATTAATTAGTATTTGAATAAAGTAAGCTCTTTCCTAGGTGCTATTTGTTGGAAAGCTGGAGAGTTGGGCCGGGGGGGTCTCTATATTTTTATATAGCGACTCTCTGCGATGTCATGATGCGCGCATTCTACAATTTGTTCATTAAATCATTCATTGTTATCAGTTAATATGGCTTTGATTCATGAATTCTTGGTTTTAACTAGCAGGATGTTTCATTTTGGAGAGGTTGTTAGATGGAAATGCAACATCATCAACAGATCATGCTGGGGATGTGAAAGAGACGGACAAATATGATGAACAAGGGCAGACTAAAAAGTATGATGATCATCTGACACCAGCTGGGAAGCGATATCACCAGCGATGGGGAAAAATTGATCCCCAGAGGATGGCCTGAAAATCTCATCGCAGGAATTCAATGAATAACTAGCGAATCCAAGTGAGCATATCACCACATTCCTGAAGTGGGACCTGGTTAGTTTGTTTCTATAATTTGTGAGTTTTATACACTTTTTGAAGAACTGGGAACAATAAGCTTTCATCAGTTAAAGCCATGCGTATTGATTGAAATCATGACGTTTGTCAGTTATTTGTAAGTTTTAAATCCCGTCTGCTTTACTGTGATGGTTTGTGCAAGGAGCTTTCTTTGAAACTTTGGTTTGGTCTGTGGGCATTTAAATGAACTCTGCAACAAAGATTAATGCACAGTTTGATGTCTCACCAATTGGATCTTTGCCTCTGTAGAGCTATCCAAAAAATTCTATTCAGTTTTGGAAAAAATCCCAAATCACTAAAAATTTCAGCCAGTGGATTCCCAATTTCTTATTTATGGTGATTACACATACGAGTTGTTTCTTGAATGAGTGTGCTTTTTAGTTCATAATGCTTCGCGGTTGGTTGGCCTGGATTTAATAAATAAATAAATAAAATTTATTGGTTCAAACTTGATTAATTAAAATAACATAAATAAAAAACACGAAAATAATAAACAAATTAAAGGAAAAAAAATGATAACATAAAAAATATAAAAAAAAACTCTACCCAAGTTCATTTGAATCAGCATGCGAAATTTGAAAGCCAGGGCTACTACCACTCCACAACAGCAACATAATTAACCTCTCTCAGGGCCACGTACCAATTTTGTTTGCGAATAACGTAGGAGCCCTTGTTGGTGAGAAGAAAGACAGCCACAACCAAGATTTACAAGTGAGTTAACACGAGTGGGTTAGCACTTGGTGCCTGCAGAGATTGGATGCGAGTTCTTGGGCCATTGAACTTCCATTCAATTATCACGCATATCGACTTATTTTGTTACTTTAAGGAAACATGTCGTCCTCATTTTTTCAAACTCGATATTATTATCAAGTCCAGCCCCGTAAATCGGAGGTTGTCTTCGGGGCATATTCATAAATTTTGATACAAACGAGTCGCATGAAAACTTCAAGGAAGCCCACATCGAATGCCTTCTATTGGGCCTATATTAGAGACCATGAGCTATGAATGGAATCAATGTCTATGCTAGCAGGGTAATTATTGCAGCACCTAGAGGCGTTCCAAAAAAAACATCTTAGCCAAATTTGATTTTTTTTAGAATTATATGTTAATTGTTTTGATGTGTTGATATAAAAAATATTTTTTTAAAATAAGAATATTATTTTTTTATATTTATCAAGTAAAAAATATTTTGTTCTAGAAATAAGAGTTGTAAATAGCCATTAACATCCCCAGCGTGGGGCCGTGTCTATATATAAATCGCCGCAAAAATTAACGGCAACAGCTGTTGCACCGTCTGACCCTCCATAACTATCGTTTTCTTCTTCTTGTTCCGTTTTCTTTTTGCCGTCAGGTCTCGTCTCATGATCCTTGCATGAACATTGCTCTTATCAGTTGAAGTTTACTTTAACGTCAAAAAAGGCCATGGAAAGCAAGCTGCACTTTATAGAGGAACTTTTAGCAATTTCATTTGCTGTTAGAACTTAAGCAGAGTCAAATCAGTGTGGGGCTCTGCATGCCTTTTATTATATTATATATTTTGAGTGTGGTTTTAATTATTTTTTAAAGTATATTTTATTTTAAAATATATTAAAATATTTTTTATTTTTTAAAAATTATTTTTAATATTAATATTTTAAAATGATTTGAAAACATAAAAAAAATATTAATCTGAAGTAAACATAAATTTTTTATTTTTTTAAAAAATATTTACAAATAATGCATAAAATTATTGAAGTCTATGCCAAAACAAATAAATAAATTATTGAAGCGCACGTGGCTGATACTGATAGTGACAATTCCCTTTTGGTTTTTTAGGACTTAGAAAGTACAGTTAGCTTTTATCGTTTAGCTAGGATGTTGGAACTGATGTAAGATAAATTCTCACAATCCCCTCTTTGGTTTTTTAGTACTTAGAAAATACAATTAGTTTTTATCGTTTAGCTAAAATGTGGGTACTGATGTAAGATAAATTCTCACAATCCCCTCTTCTTTTTTTCAGTACTTAAAAAATAAAATTAGTTTTTATCGTTTAGCTATAATGTTGCTATCCCCTCTTTGGTTTTTTAGGACTTAGAAAGTACAATTAGTTTGTATCGTTTAGCTATAGTGTTCATGCCGATGTAAGATAAATTTGATTAAATTCCGCAATTAACACACAAAAAAAAAACCAATAAATAAATATAGGAGCAAAATTTTTTAGTGAAATAATATAGTTATTTTTAAGTATAACAAAATAATTATTACATTTTAAAATAATGTTATTTAGTAAATATTATATTTTTAAAACATGATAGAGTAACACTGCGCTATTTCTTCCTTAATTAATTGACTAATTTATAATGATTAGTAAAATTACTTGATTGATTTTAAAAATAACATGAAAAATCTTGAAATTGTCAAAAGTGAGGTTTTTTAACGAGATTTTTAATATCTAAAGAACTGATGGTCCGCTTAGCGATACGTTGGCTGCTATAGAGGAAATGACCTCTAGAAAATTCTGTAAAAATTTGAGTATGATCTAAAGGTTAAATCAAAAGTTATGACCTTTTTAAGCTATTGTTATAATATGGCACAACAAAACCTTCTTTTGGGCCTTAACTTGTTTTAGTTGTCTATAAATACATCTGCTAGGCGGGGATGATCATATTTGGTTTTGTTCGGTTTTTATAAAAAAAATAATCAAATCAAAATTAAAAAAAACTGAAATCGAACCGAAACCTGTCCAAACTAACTGGTTCCGGTTCAGTTTGGTTTTTTAGGATAAAAACCTGTTTAAACCAGTTTGGCTTGATTTTTTCTGATTTGGCTCGGCTTTTTTCTGGTTTTTTTGGATTGGGTTCGATTTGGTTTTTCTGGTTTCATGCTTATAAAACCGAAATCAAACTTAACTGGTTGGTTTTTTCAAAATTTTAATCCATTTAATTGATTTTTTTATGGTTTGGTTTTTTCGGTTTTTTTTTTGTTTTCTCGGTTTAATCTATTTTTTAAATTTTTTTGCTCATCCCTACTGCTAGGCCATCCATATAATTTATTTGAGACAAATCCTCATTTATATGCGGCAGATTCACACTTGACTGCTCAAAATCGCATATTAATATGCGAAAGATAACTTTTTGACATTTTTATTTTTTAGTCTACAAGTTATATATATATATATATATATTAAATTTTAAAACATATTTGGAGAATTTTTTTATAAAATTATAATTTTTGTGTAAAATAATCAAGTAATTAATATAACTAGATATAACCGGTCTAGTTAAGGCTGAATATTAGAATTTGACATATCTTGCTTTTAAAGCACAATTGGGTATATATATATATATATATTAAATTTTAAAACATATTTGGAGAATTTTTTTATAAAATTATAATTTTTGTGTAAAATAATCAAGTAATTAATATAACTAGATATAACCGGTCTAGTTAAGGCTGAATATTAAAATTTGACATATCTTGCTTTTAAAGCACAATTGGGTCAAGTTGTGCTATTTCACTAATTTTTTTTAATGATATTATCATGTTAGATTTTTATGTTTACTATGCTAATTTTATATAAAAAATCTAATAAATTTAGCTTCAATATGTGGTATTTTTGTGTTTTAAAAATATTTTTTAAAAAATTAATATATATATATATATATTTTTTAAAATAATATTTTTTTAATATTTTTAAATTATTTTAATATGCTTACATCACATCTTGTCGAATCTCTTACGCACTACTTTCTATTGTCAACCTTACTATTTTGATGGAACGCATAAATCTTCATGTTTGATGAGGTGATTGACGGCCAATGTGGTCATGCTGGTCGTGAGATTAGATTTGCCCACGGATTTCTTTTAATTTGTTTATAAAGTCGTATCCTTCTTTCTGATCTTGCTTATTATATTTTTATTTTGATATGATTGCAATTATTTTTTTTTATAAACAATTGCTAATCTCGTCAACCTCTTCTATGTCAGCCTTTACATCACATCTTGTCGTTTCTCTTGGTTTTACATTATGTGGTCAAAACGTTGTTTATGCCAATCTTGTAGTTATTGTACTGGAACGAATTCTTGCAACTTGGAGTTGGAGTCATGGATCATGAAACTATTGAGGCGGAACCCGATCTGAGTGGTTCATTTTGCCAGACAAGCAGTGTGGGCTCTCCAGTGACTCAACGCTCTTTAAGTTTACCACGCAGCTTATCATTCGAGGTAGATGATGATACTGAAAGTGAAAATGTATCAGAGACTGGTAGTGGCAGCATCAGGTTATCCATTGACAAGGGATTAGAAAATGAAATGGCGGTTCCCATTTCAGAGGACATTTTATTACGATCCCATGGGTCCCGGACTCACGATTCCACAGCCTTGAATACTAGATCCCCAGTGTCACTTTTGCCAGGAGAAATCTTATCTCCTATATCGATTGATGTGTTGGTCTGCTCCGAGGAAAAACAAGAAGTGAGAATTCATTTGATCATTTGCATGAATTTCATTATTGTTGACAGGATTTGTTTGGTTTATTGCCTCATGAATAGGTTTCTATCTTTAGCGACTGTTTGTCAAATGATACATGATCAAACTTCCAGTACCTGTCCATGTTTGTTTATCTGATAATTCTATTTCTTGCTGCTAAATCCAGGACAGAGAGAAAGCATTTGCGTTGCCACCATTACTCGAGTATATGTCCTGTCTTGTGTATCTGGCAGTTTTTGGAATTCTTGGGGTAATATGCACAACCTTTTCTTTTTACTTTCTGAAACTTTAAAATGGCACTAGAAAAGGTAACCTAACTCCAGCGATTTTTTTATCCTGTAAAGTTGGATTCTGGTGCTTTTCACCTGTTTTCTTATGTGTTACTTTTGTTGGGTTTTTTTTGGCAGTTTTGTCAAGAATACTTGCTTCTGCATTCCCTGCTAGCATTCTGGTGCTAGAAACACTGACCCCCTAAAATCTTAGAAGGCCAATGGTATTTTTATGGAAGCTAATGAAATTTCTTCTATAACTCCATTATTACCATCGCTTATAGTTTTCAACGCTCACATGACCACTTGAAAAGAATAGAATCTGAAATTGAAGTCGTATAGCCTCATGGAAATTGTTACATAGTACGCTAGATCAAGAACATGAGAACATGTCCTTTGCTTGACATAAGTGGTTTTGGAAAGTGGTGCTCTCTAGTCATCACTATAAGGAGTGGGTATCTTTCAAGGGGGATGATTAATCCTAGGAAGTATTGCTTTGGAAACTAGCTGGATGAAATTTGTGATGCATCTAAGAAAACTTTATTATGCCTTTCTTTGCAGATAACCCAAAAAAGGATTTTGATTCCGTAAATTGATAGTAAGAAAACTTTATAATACCTTTCTTATGCTTTTGCTAATTTCATTTACTTAAAACAGTCTATATTGGTCAGAAGAGGACTCGTTGAGGTGAGTGATTTTTACAACTGCTGTATCTTTTGCTAATCTAACAACAGAGTGTAATCTATTCCTTGAAAAAGGCATCCGGCAGTCATGTTCTTCCATTAGTTACTAATATTCTTGCACGCAAGGATCATCTTGCTCTACTCTATTTGTGGAGTTTGCAGAAGAGTTCTAATCTGATTTCGGTTGTTCCATAAATAATCTGAATCGATTTTAACGTTTAATACATAATTCCATCATCCTGAATTGGTTTTATATGAAAAACGTTGCGGCAGCCCCATAACCTATAAAGCAATGCTGCATTTAGGTTCTCTTTCAAATCGATTATCATGTTGCTTCCATTTCTTCCATTTGCCTTGTTTTTTGGTGATTGATGTAGGCATTAATTATTGTGCTTGATCGGAGTGCACAACCAAAAAGAAAATTTGCTCATAGTTGGGGAAGGGGGCACTTTAAGGGTTGCATGCGGATTAATATGAAAAAAATACTAATGTTCTGGCATGGCATAATTTGCAGGTTTTAACAAGGTACATGCTACAGAAACTCTTGCTCCCTGCTGTTGCTGTGGTGATAAGTGACAACTGCCCGCTATATCTTGAACTACCTTTCAATATGGTCTCTCTCTCACACTCACTCACTTAGATAACACACAGATCTTGCATCTCATCATTTTTATGTTTAAAGTAGAGATCATTCTATCCATAAGCTATCTAGCTTGTTTTGAACAGAAAAGCAACATTTTTCGCCAAAGAATATCTTCGTAGCTTTTAGGAGGCTTTTCATTCAATTGGTTCCTTGTAATGCGTACTTTGGTTTCATAAGGATTCATGAGGTTTTGATTTGGTTGGATCAAGAGTTTCCTGAAATAAGATTAACAAAAATATAACTGGTTGATTTTGTTATGGTATAAAAATGTCATTACTCATTGCTCATCATGGAACTTAAACAGGATGATTCCAATTCTAAAAACGACCCTGGTATTCCCATATTACTGGATTAATTGAATCTAAGAGGTTCTTGATATTGTTTGGAAAAGTAGAGTTATTAGAGTTTGATAGATTCAACTGTCATGTAATTTGAATTTTGGGGTTTCTGTGGTGAAACTCCACTGCATTAGAATGATCCAGAATTAGAGCTTGTTCTTGTGGTAACTGGCACTCAGTAAGAATACCACAACTTGTCTGTCACCTTCAAGATGCATGGATTAATAAATTATAATGTTTCAATAATACTTTGAGGACTCTGTTCTTTCAACTTCGAAAAACGAAGTTTATTAACTTATGAGTAATGTGTGCTCTTCTAGGTTGGTTCGTTCTTGATGGGATGGTGGGGTGTTGTTTTCAGAGGAGATATATCCAGAGTGTCTGAATATTTGGCTATTGGATTAACCACTGGTTACTTAGGAAGTCTTGCAACTTTCAGTGGTTGGAATCAGAAAATGCTTGAACTCAGCGTTGATGGTCATTGGGTGGTTTCTTTTGTTGGCTTTCTCATAGGTAATGTGGCTCTCTCAAAGGTAAGGCGTAGGTTAAGCGGCGTATAGAAACTCAACTATTGCTCGTGTATGTGACTGTTAAAATTTTAATGGCAGACAAACATTGTCTGTGCCTGATCATTAGAAGGTAAACGGCTAATTTTTCCTTGTGTATCTTTGCAGGGTTATTCCTTGCAGCATACGCCATAAAATTGGGTATTGGTACAGCCAAATGTTTCAAGTCATTTCTCGGAAGGTCAAACAGAAGTGCATGCTTAGCCAGTTGGAGGGTGGACAACCGCTATCGTCATATACGAGTCCTGATGGTATTGGTGGTAATATTAGGCCTTTTATGGAGCGTGAGCTTGGCAATGCTCAAGAAAGAGTATAACCACGAGGTCCCCGACAGTGGTAGGGTTCAGCTATGGCTGGCTTGCATAGTTGCACCCCCAGGGGTGTGGATCAGGTGGTTCTTAGCACGGCTCAATGGGCGTGGGTTAGGGAAGGCGGGTTCTCTGAAATGGGTTCCATTCGGAACCCTTATTGCCAATGTGTCCGCAGCTTGTATCACAGCAGCACTGACTACTGTGAAGAAAGCGGTATGATTTTATTGCTCTCCCAACCAAACTTAGTTTCCCCTCCTACTTGCATGTGCTATGCCTTCGCAAGTCATTTATTATTATTATTATTATTATTATAGCCCTGGCTAATTCTATTTCTACATTATGGAGGTCTAGTACCACAGTCTCAACTTTCAGGGCAGGCGTGAATCACGCTTTGTTTATTTCCGCTCTAAATTCTTATTTTCCTTAATTGTTTTAACCCCAGTGATGATACCATCCTTATTTAGCTCGAGTAAGTTTTAGTAAGAATACAACTTCATAAATTGTGTGTTTTTTGAAAATTTTGATGGTTGGGCGATGCAGGTGCATACCAAAACCTGTGATACTATTTCAACAGGCATGCAGTTCGGATTTTTGGGTTGTCTAGGTACTGTTTCTACCTTCATTGCCGAGTACAATGCCATGGAAGAAAGCCAGAAAAACTGGAGAGCTTATGCATATGCCCTGATGACAATAGCTATCTCATTTGGCTTGGGGATCCTCATATACTCCGTACCTGTTTGGACTAGGGGATACAAATAGCAATGTCAGCTTACTTTTAAATCTCTCTTTTGGATGCTGTCTTACTGTATATTAATTTTGACATGATGTAGAAATTTGACTCTTGCTTAATAAAGGTCTATTGTTGTATGGAAATATAGTTGTAGTTTATTTTTTAAAATATTTTTTATTTAAAAATTTATTAAAATAATATATTTTTATTTTAAAAGTTTAATTTTTATATTTATGTATTAAAATGATATGAAAATATTAAAGAAATATTAATTTAAAAGTATGAAAATATTAAAAAAATTAATTTAAAAGAAAAAAAATTAATTTGTTAAAAATATTTTTGAAACATAAAAACAAACAGAGTTGACAAAAAAAAACTATCAGATAACCTCTAAATCATAGTTATCAAACCCGATCCAAGGATTAATCCTGTTAAGGGATTGAGTCCCGGGTTTCATGTGTCAACCCAGATCAACCCGAATTAACCTGAATATTAAAGTATATATAGACCAAATAAGAAGAATTTAAAAAATAATGTCAGCTAAGCTAAGTTTTGAAAGGGAGTTCTTATAAATTCAAAATGAGAGTGAATATATAGTTACACATTCAAAATGAAAGATATCTAAACTAATTCAATAAATAAAGAGAGGTTGATTGTCTCTATTATATTATGTCAAAGAATCATCTCAATCCAATAACTTAAATTGTTAGATGAGATCCTAGGATATAATTTATATTATTCTCTAACATATCCCTTCAAGTGAAAACATTTGGGCTTAAAACTTGTACAAATCCATATTAATTTATACTTAATTTTTACAAAATAAATAGGGATGAAGAGATTCGAACTCGTAACCACTAGGTCATCAAGGTTCTGATATCATATCAAAAAATCATATCAACCTAATAGTTTAAACTGTTAAGTGATGTCCCAAAATATGATTTATATTATTCTCTAAAAGAATCATCTCAACTCAATAACTTAAGATATTATTCTCTAAGAGAATCATATAAACCTGAGAGCTTAAACTGTTAGGTGAGATTTTAGGATATAATTTATATTATTCTTTAACTAATCCCCTCAAATGAAAGTCTTTTGGGCTTGAAATTTGTATAGGTTCACATTATCTTGTGCTTAATTTTTATCAATAAATAATGATGGTGAGATTTGAACTCTTGACCGCTTGGTAATTAAGGTTGTGATACATTGTCAAAGAATTATCTTAACCCCTATCCAAGAACCATTTTAACCTAAAGGTTTAAACTATTGGATTGAATTAGTTACTTGGCATGGTATTAGAGTCTTGATGATCAAACGATCATGAGTTCGAATCTCATCATTTTTATTTATTTGATAAAAATTAAGCATAAAATCAAGTAAACCTGTGTAAGTTTTAAGTCTAAAGGGTTTTTATTTTAGGGATATATTAGAAAATAATATAAATCATATATTAAGATTTTACCTAACAATTTAAATTATTAGGTTTAGAAGCTGAAACTATTAGGTTAGAAATTTCTTTGAAAGTCTAAAACAAAGATGTCTAAACTAAATTCAAAAGGATCGGCAATAAATTTATGAATTTCTTTGAAAGTCTAAAACAAAGATGTATCACAATTACGCTAACACAAAGTAAAAATATTCGGCAGATTTCATATTATGTTCGCATGTTAACAGGAATTTTCTGTTAAAGTCATTAAAGGGGTAGATTCTCCTTGCAACACAATTACGCTAACACAAGAAATATAGAAAACGACACTCGTATCCTCCTCCTGAGTTCACCTATTGTGGAATCTTGTTGAGCTTACAATAGCAATAATCACCGTAATTCCTGGTCTTGTACTTGGGGGGATTCTTTTCATTAACGAGCTTTGGATGAGGGCCTACAGCGAGGTCAGATGGAGGCTCCAAGAACACAGGCCATGACATTCTTGTCTTATCTTTAGTTACTGTGGTTCTGTGGAACACACTCTTATACTTCCCATTGCTCAAAATCTGTAAAAGGAAAGGGAATTGTTAGCAGATATAGTAATTAGCAAGCACTCAGAGCATTTAGTTTGGGGAGAGAGGCACCTCAATCTGGTCGCCGATGTGGATGACTAATGCATGTGGTATGTACTTGACACAATACCACTGTCCATCTCTGCAGGCCTGGAGGCCCTGAATATCATTGGGAAGAAGAATTGTTATGGAGCACATGTCAGTGTGAGCCACCACCCCAAGAGCTAGATCAGGACGTGGGCAAGGTGGATAGTAGTTTATTTTGAGAAGGTATGTCAGCTCATCTCCGCCCACAGCTTCTTTGAGTTCGTGCTCTTCAAGCCCTAAGTCTAACGACAGGCTCTTGAAGAGTTTGTCTACAACCCCGTGCAGATACTTTACGTATTCCTCGTTGGCTTCCCTGCAACGAAAACATGACACCCGCGAAACAAATTAACATTGCAATGTTTCTATTGATATTCTTGCCAGCACCAACTTTCTCCTTTGTTTAGAATCAAAATTGTTAGTTTTAAATGAACTTGCACAGAAGTCTAATTACATTGAATATCACGTGAATGCAGTAATCCTTTGTTTAGAATCAAAATTGTTAGTTTTAAATGAACTTGCACAGAAGTCTAATTACATTGAATATCACGTGAATGCATTAATCCTCCTCCTTACATTCAAGAACAAAAACTACATTATGAATATATATAATCCTAAATTGTTTCTTAAAATTCTACACATACAGAGAAAGATGCCGTCATGTCGATTTGCCAATTAATGCTAAAACAATTTTTGAAACGAGAGAAAACTAACACAATGCTAAAACAATTTTTGAAACGAGAGAAACTAACACGTCTTATCTTTGCAAATTTTCTTCTCATTCCATGAATAGTTAGACTTTATTATGGTAGGATGCTTGCTCATTTTTAAACCCTTCCGATTTTGTACGTTACCGACTTTGTAAAAAATGGTGAAATGTAATTATTCTAAAAAATAGATAAAATGGTGAACGGAATTAAGAAAAAAAATTGTAAGAGAAATTAACAAAAAGCTTCAAACCTGTATAGAGGTGGATTTTTTGGCCAGAACCGGTTATTAATGGCAGGAGGAGGCCATATCCTGTGGAATAAATGATCAACCCAACCTTTCTTGCCCTCTACTTCTTTTTGAAGAAAGGTTCCATATCCTTCAATAGACTTAGCCCCTGGTGGCTTGGCATAGAGTTCCTTCTCTGCTTGTGGGAGCTCAAAAAAGGCTCTACCCACACTCTGAAACTTGCTAATGACCTCACTCGGTATGCCATGGTTCACAATTTGGAACATGCCCCACTCCCGGCTAGCATCAGCGATCAAACGGGTGATCTTTTCCTCATCCGGGTCGCTTACATCGATGACGGGGACATCAAGGTTGACCCCATGAACGGTGGTGATTGCAGGTTGCTCATGCTCAGATCTGATAAACGCTTCCGGGATTGTTTCTTCGAATGTAGATGCAATGTTTTGTACTCTTTCTGTCTCCATCTATTATTTTTCAAATAAAAATGGTTAAAGAGACTTCAAGGCTAGCTCCTTCTCTCCGAGCTATACATGCATATTTCATAGGTTCTCCCTCGGTTTCTTTTACGAGTTTTTAACCATTAATTATTATTACGGAAAAAAAGCCTAGCTCGTAGGGCAGCCATTAATTACAATATGGAAGGTTATCTATATATATAAAAAAGGGGGCAAGTGCCGCTTTCAAGGATCATCCCAAATTTAGAATGGGCAATAAGTGACAGCTCCCGTATTGACTTCTCATGGTTTGAGAATGGCGCGTTGATTGTCCAAAGGATTCATTTTTGCTCTTTCCATTAACTGACACGCACCCATTGCCTCATTTTGACTTAATTTAGACTTGTAGAACTAGCATGATCCTTGCATTTATTCTGTTTTTCAGTCTTCTGCTGATTGACCTGAAGCTGCTTCTCATTTTTCTTACAGATGAGTGGATTATTGCCAGTATAAAATTTTGTGTTTTGCCTCTTCTTGGTATATTTAATGCCACTACGTGGTGGTCTCTATGCTGTGGAGGGTTTTATTAAAAGATGAAATGACGCACACATGTCTGATGGTTGAAAACCTGCATATTTTAAAGTTTAAATGAAATCAAGCAATAAATTAATACATATTCAGTGATGAATCTTATCGAGAACACCCTGTTCATGCTGATCATGTCACTGGAACAGGCCTCATTAGGGTTTGCCACATATCAATTTTGTCATTAATATTGTTTGCTATATCTTCGCTAAGGCAAGGCAATAGTAGTGTATTTTTATTTTTATTTTAGTTGTATTACTCTTTGTAATGCTATCATTTCTTGCAGACTAATTATATCTCCAGGTGTGAAATCTATTATATATATCAAAAGCAAGTAGTTCCGAAGCTGATCTTCTGGTTGAACCTGGTGATCATTAAGTATCTTTTGGGGACTGATCTTCTGGTTGAACCTGGTGATCATTGAGTATCTTTTGGGGATTTTTTTTTTTTTTAGTTCAGGGAGGCATGCATGGTGATGCTGTCTCATTGAATTTGCTTTTTCTTTGTTTCTATGAATATGCTGCGCTAGCTGATGCATGGAGAGCTATCCCTAAAACAAAGCAATGATATATATAGAAGTAGAGTCCATGAGATGCGCTGCTGCCGGACTAAAAATTTTTTACATGCAGACAAATAATAAGATCTACAAAATTCTCTATTGATATTATTAAATGTAATTCATTGTATCAGTTCTCTGGTATGATTGTTAGAGTTAAAAAAATTAGGATAAATAATAAAAGTATAATTTAATTTTAAAAATATTTTAATAATAATTAATTTTTTAAATAATATTAAGGTGATGACCCATTACATCAATTTGAATTAACTAAAATTAACTCATCAAATCCATAATCTCCGTGATCTGAAATAAACTCCATTAAATTTATAATAATACCTTTTATTTAATTATATAACTCATGGGTCCTCTCAGGCAATAACTTTTTTAATTAAAAAAATATTAATTAAATATTAAATGATATTATTATTCTTTATCAAACCAACAATTAACCAAAAGAAAGTGGCAGAAAGACCATAATATCCTTGATTCCATGATTTGATTTATTTAGCTCCAAGGGAATATTTGTAATTTAGCTGTATAAAAAGAGAAAAAGAGACTCTCTCCTGCCCCGACAATTTAATATTTGTTTACCTTGGTTTTTTTACTGTTTATTAAAATATGAAATAGCAGGAACTACCCGGAACAAATCTATAAAGAAAAAATGTCTTTGGTAGTAAGGTTTTTCGGCAACGCCATAGATGTCATTTTACATGTACAGCCACGGTGAAATTACTAAATGCAAGGAAATGCATGAACGGGCGGACGAGAGGGATAGATTTTATTATTACAAACTTCTGCTGGCAAGGGTGTAGGATTAAGAGTCTGGAGGGAGTCCTTCTGCTGATCATTCCACATATCCCGAAGGATTAAAAGTTAATTTAATCGCAGTCGCATCTGGTCTTAAAATTGCTGTATACTATCTACAATCATATGCTATTTCATGTGCACCCTTGAAATCATGAAGTCAAGTGACATCGATTTCAAACAAGATAGCTTGAAGTAACCGTGAAGCAACTGGCATGACTTTCTCTTCGGAAAGACCCAGGATATAATTTCTGAAAATGAAAATTTAACGCCACGTGACAGTTATGTACGACTACTAAATGGATAGTGTGAATGCTGAGCAACTAAAATGGTGAAACGGATGGGTATCCAGAAAAATAAATACATAAGGTTCCACTATTTACGACAGAAATCACAGAAGGGCTGTTGTGCATGGAATTAAAGCCTCTCGTCACAAACAACGAAAAACCATCTGTTACTCTCTCGTAATAAAATGAAAGCATTTCCAGGACAAGCTACGTTTTCCCTCATAGATTAAAATGCATTTCCTGGACACAGTAATTTCTTCCTAATTTGCTCATGTAGTTCTGAATTGATTGCTTTTATTTATGAAAAGTCGCCATAAGCTAATTCTGTATTTTCAAATTCAAACTCAAAACCAGAGTCCCCATTCTACCTTACATGCCAGCACGGGGGTTTGGATGAACCGTAAGGGCTAAACCATTCATGACCATTGGAAGAAGATTTGGTAGACAACGTAGACCATCATCTACTCTATGCGGGAAGGATGTGGACTCCGAAGAACAAAGTCACTGCTTCATATTTAGAGACTCTGAAATATCACAATAGCTTCTTACAAATTGTTTGCATAAAGCTCACGCAGTAACAACTGTAAAATTCAAGAATTACAATATATAAAAACGTTCTTAGAAGTTCTGTTAACACAAATTACTATATATTTCCAACTGTAAATAAACAACAGGTACCTCAACACTTTAGCCACAGCAGGAGCCACAGGCAGGCAAGGAACCTGGAAGTTAAGGATATCAAAATTGTGTTCAACAAAGGGTTGAAAAACGAACACATGAATATCCAAAAATAAATAAACAAGCAAAATTAACTCACTATGGTCAATCCCTCTAACATTGTCCAGTCCACGGGGTGGGCCACGTGGGCGACCACCATATGGTCCACTACCAGGACCTCCTGGGCCACCATCCCATTTCTTGCTAGAACCAGATCCTTTTTTATAAGTATCTGTCTTTTCCATCTAAGACATAAAAGAAATTGAGAAGATCAGTCTCTAGAGGTAGAAGACAAGTACCAAAACAGACATGTTATGACAAAGCAACAATGGAAAATCACTGAATTACCGAGAACATAGTAGAAAAGAACACGCCTATGAGATTCACAATAGCCCAGAAGAAATCAGTTATTGTTCTCAGTCGCCATATGGATCGCTTGGATTTCAATACACCTGACAACAAGGACACAACCACATTGCTGTTAATAATCAGGGACGAAAAGCTTCCACAAATTCAATCCTTAACATGTTTTTTTCTTCCTTTAAAATTCACACCAAAATTAAGAAATGTATATATTGCCCACACTAGCCATGCAATGAGTCAGCCACAGCTTCATCTTGGTATCACTCTTTTCACTTAATGATGCCACCCAGTTGCATTACGGGCCACGTGGTTAAAGTGCGTTTTACAAGCAATTAATTTCATAATCCAATGTTCACATATGATATACGCCGAACAACACCATAAAAGAACCATGAGAAAAAAGTTTATAGAGAGCCCAGGACATCATCAACTTCCAAATGATACACTACGCTTAAAAAGAAGACCATCAACAATGAAACTAATAACGGAAAGGCAGAATGACGTTCGCTTAAAGTTTCCAGCATCAAAAAAAGCTAGAAACAGTCCCCAGAAAAATAAAAAATGATTTTGTTTTTGTGTAATAAAAATGCTTTTGAAAAACTTTAATTTTTTTTAATTTTTTGTTTCAAATTAATATTTTTTGATATTTTTATATTATTTTGATATGCTGATACCAAACAAAAATAATTTTTAAAAAATAAAAAATATTATTTTGATATATTTTTAAATGAAGAAGAGTTTGAAAAAAAACCACAACAAGACTCCCGACAGACTAATGTTTAGCGATCAAGAATTAATGATATCAGTAAACAGATTGCGTGTGCAGGAGAAAACACTGATGGCATCATCTTCCTTGGGTTTATTATCCCATCAATTTCACTGAAACATGTATTACCTTCCACCTTAAGATGGTTTAAACTCCCGCCTAACTCGTGAAGGACCATAAGTTGGTGCATCTTATAAGCCCAAACACCAGATTATGGCATGACCTTCTAACGGTGATCAAACTCCGCGCCATTAATGAAATTAACAACAACAGAACAGACAATCTAATTAAATAATCTCAAAGCATGATTTATGTCAATCTGTTATGCATCAATTCATTATTTTAGGCACAATTAATCCTTCTCCAAATCAATCTAAGCGTTGACTTGAAAAAGAAGAATCCTAATTCCCAAAATGACTCAATCAAACAAAAATCACAAACCAAAAACCCCGCTATCAATATTGATGAATTCACAATTAGAACTGGATAGATAAAACCCTGAGATCTTAAAGACTAAAAAAGGATTTACAATATCGTAGATGGACGAAGATCGCGATAACGACTGAGAGCGCTTACCTCGTTCAACGTATGCCATTGGGTGAGGGTTGATTCCAAGGCCTCTTCTTCTCGAATTTTCTTCGATAATTTTGACTTTCTTTCCTTGTTTATGGAGAGAGCTCAGCCGTTGTGTTTTTTACGCTCATATTAATATATATGGATGGGGGTTTTTGGCGTGTTTCCAACGGCAACATACCTTATTTTTATTACGTGTTTGGTTGATTTTGATTGGCTAGAAATGATATAGGAGGAAAATAAACATGCAATTTTGGGCTCGATACTTGACCTTGTGATTTTAGGCCTAAGACAATGTTGCCATGGCCCAGCTCGTTCCCGATTCCCTAACATGCAATGAAGGAAAAGATCCTACATTTAAAACATTTGTGTCATCTTCTTCTTAGATTCTGAATCATATTTCATTAATTTTGAAAATTATTCTTCAAATTAAAATAAAAAAATATTTTTTCATAATAAAAAAATTAATAACGTAAGATATTTTTATTCAAGAAATACTTCTTTTAATTTAAATTATTAAAATCTTGTGCTACTAGTAAAAAAGACAAGCTTTTATCAAGCTAGAAAACGAACAAAAGAGGGATTTCGACTCAGAAATTACACCTTTTATTTCAAGATTTGAATAGATTGATTTCTCGTAAATATTTATTTTATCCATTCAAAAATTAAATAAAAATTGGTTTCAAATTAATTATTGTTCAAATAAAAATTACCCTGCAGTAGAAAGTCATGCATGTTTCCTTCATGTTAGCTGAAGTCATCTTCCTGTTTTATTTTTTTATAAAATCTCACATAAAAATTCGTCAGTTAGATAAATATTCAGGGAAGAAATATATAAAAATATTTTCTGAATTCAGTGTTTTTTTTCTTTTCTTTTTAGAAACTCTCATCCTTCTGAACCATTAATCTTTCCGTTCGATAATTAGGAATTATGTTAATTCTTGACCAAAACTAAAACTTCATGTCAGTCCATGTGCAGGAGGAGAAATGAAATTCTTATAAGTAATTTATTTAATTGAATAAATAAATAAATATAGTTTTGATGCAGAATATCTTCTGACTTAAAAAAGTAAAGAGTATATTTGAGAGCCCTAGTAATGGTTATTTTTTAAATATTTTTTATTTGGAAATATATTAAAATAATATTTTTTATTTAAAAAAATTATTTTTAATATTAATATATCAAAAGAATTTAAATATATAAAATAAAGAAGAAGAAAAAAATCCCCAGTATTTTTTTCTTCTTTCTTATTTTATTTCAAGAAGTGTCCTTGAATGTCCTCACGATATCTACGAGGATGATGCGCACTTGGACAGCCTAATTAGGAACCTCTGCCTTCAAAGGTCACAGCCAACACGGGCTCGTAAATGAAAGGGGGATAATGTCACACATGAGCTTTCGAAACTTTACATTTGAATCTAATTTTTAATTTCTTTTCATTATACTCTCTCAAGTAGTTAAGACTTATTTCATAGAAATACATATTTCTCATCGTCAGGTTTTTTTTATTATTATTATTATCTTTATGGATTTCTAGTTTATCCTGATGTTTTTTTCATACTGGCCCCGCCATTAATTCCAGAAATTATAGCTCACCCTGCATGCCAATATTGTCTATTCACAGAAGAAAATAAAAGAGGAAATTGAGCAATGCAGACGAGGTATTGAAGTTGCTTTCAAAAGGACTGGAAATATGTATCCTCCATGCCCACAACGTGAACTAGCCCTGGAAGTTGAACCTCATATTGACATGTCTTCCCTCACCATACTGTCCCGAATGAAGTTCCAGGCCTTCAGGCATGGATGGAAAGATGGCAATTGGATCGCTGTCAAATACCTGCCGATGCACTCTTCGTCGATTCCAAACGTGGTAATGAACCCTCGATTGCTATCTAGATCCACAACTTGTGCAGGAGAAACAGATCATTCACAGTGGTTTCCTGATTGTTCTGTAGACTTCCAAGCAACTAATTAAAAGAGGGAGAAGAGGGTCTAAGACTGTCCCCGCTGCCAGTTGTGGTGAACGTTTAGATGCCTAATGGATGGAGCTTTAGATCTTCTTTTTTAAGCAAAAATATGGAGCTCATCATGATTCCTCATCCCCTCAACCTGCTTTTTGCCTCACCAATTACAGTGTGTGCTTTCAGTGTTATTGCAGAGCGATTGATTTTCTAACACAAGGAGAAGAGGTGCGAGCAGAGTCAACTATCATATAGCAATCGTCCCTGCATTACTAAAAAGATGAAAATGGTTTCATAGTATATTTCTAAAATCACACGGGAAATCCTTCCATGTTCACGGGGAGAACACAAGCCAACGCTAAAAAACAGTTATTATATTTCTGTTCAGCATTGAAGTAACAATTGTTATAGTGCTCGGATGAAAATGAACATTTTAGAACTCCTTGAAAATCCCAGCAGCAGTTAAAAATGAGTAAACCTGGCTGTTGGCATAGGAAAAGGATGATCGGATCAATCTACAGATAACAGAGTGTCTGTGCATAAGTGATTCATAAAATAACAATAAGGTGAAGTAAGACATATTGACCATTTTTAATTAACGAAGTATAGTTGTTGCACGTAACAGACCTTACAGAGATGAACAGGAGAGGAGATTTTTATGCTTCTCTGTACCTTTTTCCTTCTCTTCATCTACAAGCACCCGTCCCCTTCGCAGTTCCTGGCATAATCTAAAATGAATTAGATGTCAAAAGATGTGATGACTCAGAGAAAAGATAGAGGAGGATTTCTTTCTGAAATGGCTAACTAACGTTGTATAAGTTGGTATAACCCAGTTTGATCTCTAAAAAGGATCGCAATACATATCTACCAAGTAATGGGATAACCATAACTCTATAATAGGATAGTCAATAAAGGAAGAGCACACATGAATAAGAATAGGCGCAAGAACCCATCTGACACTTCCGGTCAGTCAAGCATTAAATGAATAGATTGTTCTGCAGTTTGAAGTGCTTTACTGATATCAAGATAGCCAACTTTCACGATCCTCTTCATGCACTAGTTTGGAAGGTCCTCCCTCTCAGACATGGTGAGAATGCATTTTGTTTTACAAAATGAAAAGTCCACTAGATAGAGTGCCAGGTACAAGAAGAAATTATATATCAGGTTATTGAGTCAGCTACAAAAGATTCCAAATGGACATGAATACCAGAGATCAGATCTGTTCAAACATTTCCAGCGCCAAAAAACCTGCTGTGATCCCTAAGTGGTGATCAAACTTATGGGACAGGTGTAGCCCCAGAAGGCATAGCAGACTCCACCAAACTCGAAAGAGGCGAATTTTCCCCAAAACTGATTCTGTAATATACCACTCCTGTTATACTTTCACACGTTGTCAGGATAGGAGTAAATATCCACACAAAAAAATTTGTAGGCGTTCCCTAATAAGGATCCCTGAATACTAAACTGTCATGCATCAACCTAAATACTTCGAAGGAATTCCATTCTTTCACGCCTCAAATTGAGACCTTCTTTAACTGTTAGATGCTAGTTTGACAGCAAAAACATTCAATTAAACAGAGAAAAAATAAAGGAAAAAACATAATTATACACATATAGAGGGTTATAATACTATAAAGTGTTTGACATTCTCGCACACGAGATAAGAAGTGCACTAGAACTGAAAGGAAAACTGTAAAACACCTGCACAAAATGAGATGTAAACTCGAACTC